TTCAGTAACCAGTCATGTCACGATGTAGGCAGCTATGTTCGGAATCGGCCCAGAACTTCCTTCGCCCTCGTTTCAAGTTTTCGTCAATGCATGTACCCATAATGACCGGACACAACATTCAGTATCCCTCACAGCTAAGTCGTTTAAACATCCACTGAAAGACTTTCCCCCAAAGTAGGGGATAAGATTCAGACGACATAACGCGATTGATGAGGAAAAATAGCGATGTTTATTGAGTTCGGCAGTCTCGAAAAACAATTAGGTGTAGGGCACACGACATGTCCCACGGGCAGGCAGATCACAAATCGATCAGAAACTCGTCTCGCAGAAGCAGCAGTCATAGTGAAGAAGAGAAGAATACGACTCGATTGCTGGGACAATACTTTTATTCGCCTGACATTTCGAGATCCGTCGCGGATTCTTCATCAGAGACAGTCAAACAGCAGTAGCAGAAACGGATTTCAGCAGTCATAGGGGCAATCGAAAATGGTCTATACTGGTCGCTAGGACTGCTTTTGATCCGCCCACCGGAACCACTAAGTGGCAGCGCAACCAAAGCTCAAAAATAGTGTCCCGTTGGTCAGTTTTACTGATTTTGGCCATATAGCATCTGTGACATTCACCACGTCAATGTCATGTTCGAATTTTACTTGCTACCAACTGCGTTAGGACTTGGCCCACTTGGCCGATTAGCAATCCACGGGTGGTCAATTTCCTTTTTTTCATCCTGCGCCCACGTGCCTTGTCGCATGTTCTGACCCCTTGACCTCGTTGACTGCCTTCCTATTCGGTGACACACTGCGAGCTTTATTGCTGTGTGCTTTTTTACCACTCCCCCTTTCCGGCACATAATTGCCGTTGTTCACGTCCGCCCAACGGGCTTTGTTCCCCGCACCGTGTCCTTATTTGCTCCCCCGTTCTTTAATTTTCTGCCCCGTGTGCTTAGGCCCTTAAAAACTAGCAGCAACGCGTCAGCATCATTCAAACGACTGCTCTTCTAAGCACTTCGAATGTATGTCCACCCTTCTTTTGATTTCTACTTCACATTTTTACCTATAGTGCAATGTTAACCTTAATGTTTGTTTCTATAGAACCACATAAAGAATAACCGAGTTATCTGACTTTCTTTTGACATAACTTGTGACCTCGGGTTCGTATATTCAGATGACGAAAACCAGCACAGCATAAAGAAACACTGCATTATCAACAGTTATTCGAGTTGCTCTTCAACAGTTTTAACAGCATCTAAAGGAGTATGTGTCAGGGTACCAGTTTGCCGCAGTTAGATTTCAGGAATGTACTATTATTCTACGCAAAAAAGTGTGAATACGTGCAGGTGGTGCTGAACAATATTGCAAGTCCAGACCAAGATGC